GCGGGACTGCAGCAGCAGCAGCGGCGCTGCGGGCCGGGCTGGCACCGTACGTGGAAGTCGGAGACGGGAGGGGAGGGCCACAACATTTTGGCACGTGAGGCAGGGAGCTCAAATGACGCCCCATGATGCCCCCTCGCTTGGGCCAACACTTTGAAAGGTCTCAGTGCTGCCTGTTCTACTCCTCGCATGGGGCTGCTCTGCTACCTACGTCTGCACCATCAGCAGACACAATTTTCTACACTCTGGGTCCTAGTGGCTTTCCCCCCCCCCCCCAGTCTGGCACCTGAGGCCGCCCCCTCAGTTTGCCTCACGGTAAGGCCAGCACTGGGAGGGGAGCGCAAAACCAGGCAGCAGAGTGGAGAGATGGACTTCTTCTCCTTGGGGTGCTTCATGCACAGTGCCCTGCTCGAGACAGGCCTGTCCTCTTCCTTGCACAGGGGCTCTTCAGCCCCTCAGGGCTCGGGCAGATCTAGCCTAGCTTATATTCCAGGATCAGAGGAACAGGGTGGCTGTGTCCAGCTTTGACACTGGCTGGCTGGGTGACCTTTGGAAAGTCACTTAATCCATGCCTCAGTTTCCCCAGTTGCAAACTAGGGCTTTAGTCACTAATGGCATGATCACAGGCTATTTTTTCCCCCCCCCCCCAAAGGACCCCATCTCACACAGTGCACCACTTGGACTGTGTTCATTAAATGAGCCAGATAATAGATTTACTCCATGTCATTATACAGACACAGGCCTCATTCACTACATGCTAGGGATGTAAAATCCCACTCAATCAGTTAAATGGTTAATCAGGATCCCACTGGTGGGGAGCTGTTCCAGCCAGTTGGGACCCACTGCACCCTACCCCGGCTCAGCCAGAATAGAGCACCCCCAGCTTGTGGCACAGGGGACTTGGCTGTGCTGAAGCAGCCCCTCAGTTACTGGTAAGGGTGATGCTTACTGGTTAGATCCTGATTACATGCTGTTCAAACCCTTTTCTTAGGGCAAAAATTATTTATTTCCTCATAGTTTTTTTTGCAGCACTTATCACTACAGTATCTAAATGATTCACCAACTTTATCTTTACAAGGCCCTGTCGGATGAAAGGGTTTGCAGATAGGGGACTAAGACACAGAATTTTAAGTGCCAGATTTGAGATACTTAGGGACTGATTTTTCAGAGTACTTAAAAGTCGGGCACTTCTGCAAATGAGTCCCAGGACATGAGGAGCACACAATTAGCAACCACCTGGGAAAAGTCTGATTACTATGACTTACTCAGTAGCACACAGAAGCTAGACTAGAACTCCCCAAGGTAGTGTTCAGCTGCCTTAAGTTACCATGAGACCAACCTCTCTCTTCTTGCAGTCCTTCACCTTTGTGTCACACCTATTTTCTGAAACAAATGAAATGGGGTTCTGCAGACAGTCTCCTTCACCACACAGAACAGAAACAAGTTATTCAGCAGATGCATCTGACACAGTGGGTCTTTGCCCACAAAAGCATATGCCCAAATAAATCTGTTAGCCTTCAAGGTGCTACAGGACTCATTGTTTTTGCAGATACAGACTTACTTGGATACCTGTCTCATGGAACAGGTCCATCATATACACTAAATAAGGCAGTGAATCCACATAATAGTATGTGATCACATAATTACAAGACTGTACCATAATGCATGTGCTTAAAGAGCAGGGTTAAAGTCATACAGACAGTCTTAAATATGGCACTTTCTAACATGTATTCTTGGCTCTGCAGCCTTAAAAATATTCTTTTATCAGCTGCTTCTGTTGACTACTTGCTCATTAATTTGTCAGTTTGCTACAAATTTTTTTTTTTGCAGTCTCAAAGGAACTGTTGACTACTTGCTCATTAATTTGTCAGTTTGCTACAAAAATTTTTTTTTTTTGCAGTCTCAAGCTTTGACATCTTTAGCATTATTACCACAGAACAGAAGGTATCTCGCAACATCCGCTGTGGTGAAGTCTTAGCCAAGGAAATCACATGCATCCCTGTACGGTCGCAGCTGGCCCCTGAAAATGACACAAATCCACACCCTCATGCCAGGCAGAACAAGTACAATTAAGAGAGCAGGGTAGCAGCTGTGGACTATGAAGGACCAGGGAAAACCTACAAGGTGGGAGACCTGGTGAAATAGGGCTGGAAGAGTTTATCAGTCTCTGCAGTCCCTCTTGGATAAAGGGGAATTTCTCAGGAAACCAGGAGAGGGGCTAGCCTGTAAGAGCGAAGGTCAGTGCCAGGAGGCTGAAAAGGGCTGCAGCTTAGGAAGCCAGCGAAACGAATATCATCCCTAATAGATAGACCAACTTGACTTTATAGCATAAAGCAGCACTTAGACATTTAAGCTGAATTCTTTAATGCCGTGGTACTGAATTCACAAGGGCAAGTCTGTATGATGTAAAAAGAGGATCAGGAACCAAACAAGCAAGCCAAGGCTTGAGCAGAACCCCGCCCTTGCACCATGTGGGCCTGACTGCAGCTAGGGACCTACGGCAGGAAGGCCTGCAGAGAAGAAGTTCCAGCAGGGACTCGACCAAATTACCAGTGCTGAGGGGTGTATTATGCTGGGGAATGGGTCAGGTCTCAGAGGAAGGTCCCAGAGGGCCCCCCTGCTTAGGGCACTCACAGGATGATCCAACATGGAAAACTGGTTTGTCTAAGGCAGTGCTTCCCAACATTTTTTATATCACGAACCAGCAAACCCATTCACAAACTTTTGGTGGACTGGTAACATGTTATTTGCATATTCATTATGCAGATAATGAATATGCAAATAATGTTACTTAGAGGCCATCAAGTTCAGCTCCCTGCCCAAGGCAGGGCCAATCCCAACTAAATCAACTTAGCCAGGGCTTTGTCAAGCCGAGACTTTCTTGTCCACCAACCCACTCACCCGGTTTTGTCACTGCACATCCCTCTGCCTCCAATCCCAGAACCCTCTGACCCCATCCAGCCAAGCCTGGTATTCTGTGACTATCATTAAACCTGCCAAACCCATCATCTGATATCCCTTATATCCCACTAACGGTAACCCCATTACCTCACAAGTCTGCCTTGCCAAACCTGTCACCCCAGTGCCCACCATCTCCCACTTCCCAGAAACCCCTGCTGCCAACTTCCTTTGGTCAAGCAGCTCTGTCTTGCCTGGAGCCCGTCCTGCCGTCATTACCATTCTTGGTGCGCTGTGTCCCAGCAATCCCTGACCAACAGACAACCTCCCATTTCCCTGGCTCCCATACCCTTCCTCCACTCCCAGATCCTGCCCCCACTACCCCTGGTGCCCCTCGCTCCACAAACCCCGACCGCCCGTTCTGCCAAACCCTGATCCTGCCCCACTGACCCTGCAACTGCCTGTTGCACAAGCTCGGAGGCCCCCAACCCTGCTCAGACTCCCTCAGATCTGCTGCCCCCTGAAACAGGAGCATGAACTGCACTGCACCTGGCTCCATAGCCACTGACCTATTGCAACCTACCCCCTCTTGCCCTCTGACCTGTAACCCCTGACCTCCCTCAGCCCCAACCATGCCCCTTGCTCCTCAGTGCCTAACACCCTTTAACCTCCGACTCCTACAGCCCATGCCATCAACCTCTTGCCCCACGACCCCACCACACCCTCACCCAATACCCCTTTGGCCCCACCCTCACTCCCCAGAGTGAGGCTGCCCCCTCCAGGAAGCATGGCTGTTACTGCTGCATGGGCAGAGGGAGCGGCTGTTGGCAGTGCACCCCCTCCTTCCCCAAGCACGTGTTGTGCCACCATGGGTAGAGGCAGATGGGGGGGGAGAAGACAGCAGAGCCCCTGCTGGGCCACCACCTTACTCCGATGAGAGAGAGGGGAGGGAGGCGGCTCCTACTCTGCCTCTTCCTGCTGCCACCTCAGCACTGCTGGGCAAAATCAGCTGCCAGAGCTGAAGCTGGCTGCTGTGCGGCGGTGAGCCACAACAAACAGCCGGCTTCAGCTCTGGCAGCCACTGTGGCCCAGCAGCGCAGCCTTGGTCTATGGCCTGGCAGCTGGGAACCCCTAGTCTAAGGCTCAGTATGTGGGGAAGGGGAGGAAGAAACTTTAGATATTGATGGATTTTATTTCATCACCCACTGTCAGGTCAGTCCTTCCCACTAGATGGAGACTTGGGCAGGGACTCACCAAAAGCTGCACAGCTAGGCAGTCGCAGAGCTAGGAATTAAGCACAGGGCTCCTGGACACTAGACCCAGGCAGGAGAGAGACTTCACTACAGCTGTGCAAGAGAGGGGCCTCGCAGCCTTCTCTATGCTCATCAATGCAGAAAAAAAAGTTTATTAGTAAAGCTGCCTCCAAAACAAGGCCTGCTCATTGCTCAACTGGGAGAAACTGGCTCCTCTCCCCTCCTCAGGCACAAGCTCATTGCAGGGCTACTTGCAGAAAAGGTTGACAGGCACTTGGAGGAGGACAGCTGCCTGGCTCTATGCAAAGGTGAGTAGTTGTCCAGAAGCATCTCCCTCCCATCCTTTGCTGGCCCTACAGCAGTGGGGGAGCGGAGGAGGCAAACGAACCAAGCTGTCCAACACGGACTACAGGGTAGCCCCACCGCTGGCCCAGGAGAGAAAGGGGCACGAGGAAAGGATTTGGGGTGGGCAACAGCCAATGGGAAGCGGGAAGAGTGTTAGAATAAGGGCAGGACACCAAGCAAAGAGGCACAGGAGGGAGACTGAGGTGGGGACAGAACAATAGAAGGCAAATGGGGAGGGAGAGGCCACAGTGGCCTCTACTGCAGCACAAGAACAAGTGGCAACTGCTGAACATTTGCGGCTGGATCCAGCTACAGGCATTGAGCTGAAATAAATCTCTGCCTTAGATGCACACAGGGTGGGAGAGATTTTGATCAAGTTTAAAATCTTTAATGAATCAGCATCTATCAATCCAGTCCCCCAACCAAAGGGGGGCGGGAGGGGCACAGTGAATTGCCAGAATAAAACACAGCTCCCTCACAAGGGGCAATGGCAGTCCCAGACACACGCTGCTGAAGCAGTCATCTGCATGAGATGGGGGCAACAACACTCCAGGGATGGAAGCAGGAGAGTCCCTCGCCTTTGGCTTTCCAGGAGAACAGCCCGTCCCTACAATTCTCACGGAACCAGACAGCAAAGCCCAGAGAGCCAGTCCATCTTAGTGTCCACTCCGGGGCTGCTTTCTGGCACGTGGCCGAGCTCCGAGACGCCGCACTGAGGGCCTCTTGTGCCTTTGCACAGAAGCTCCCTTGGAAGGGGGATGCTGCTTCTTACGCCCTGTGGTGACTTTCAACCTCTCAAGCTTCTTCCTTTTAAGCGGTGGCTCTGCAGCGACTTCTGGAGCAGACTCTGGCCTTGCTGTTTCCACAGGAGACTCCTCATCTAGAAGAAGAAAAGAGTCAGACAGGAAAGAGCAGAAGATGCTGTGGTGAGCTGCGTGGATGGGGAGGACCAGCCAGCAGTGCACACGAGCAAGGTAGTGTAGTGCAGCTCTGGAAGTAGGTTACCCTTTAGCATTTTGGGGATCACATTGGAGAACTTCTTGAGTTTGGCAATGAAAAACCCATCCATGTTGTGGGTGTGCGGGTAGAAACGCCGTGTGAGTTTGAGGGATGGGTGGAAGCGACGATCCTTGAACCTGGGGGTGAGAAAAGAGGAAATACGAGTTTCCCTAAATTCAGAGGCTATAATCAGAACAAGCTTCCCCCCTCCCCAGAAACTCAACACACCTGGTGAATCCTTCCTTGCCAAAGTCCAGCCCCGTGGGCACCAAGCGAACATTGCGTTTCTTCAGTGCATAATCCACAACCCACTCGTTCTCTTCCACCTGCCATGGACCAAGCAATACAGCGTGACTCTGTGCAGACGCCAACTGAGCTCATGCTGCACCTGGGCGAGCACTCACAAGGAACTCACCAGGATGGAGCAGGTACAGTACACAACGTAGCCCCCTGTCTCCGAGGCAGCATTGACCGAGTCGATAGCACTGAGAAGCAGCTCCTTCTGCAGATGAGCACAACGCAGCATGTCCTTCTCGTCCTGAGACAGACAGACAGACAGAGAGGTTAGCACGCTAGAGTGGGGCTGGCCCACTTCTTCCCCAGACCTAGCCCCCGGCATCCTCTGTGCTTGCTGTGAACGGAGGTGGGATCAGAGCAAGAGCCGCCAGTGGGAAGATGGCAGGACTCAGGGGAGCTTCTACCTCTTAAATCTGGTCCCAGAGAGCATGTGTGATGGAAGCAGGTATCTCTATTCCAGGCAACTTGGTGCAAGGACAAGAGTCCAGAAGCCCTTCTCCTCCAGGATCTGCAGGCAAGCTGGCTTCTCGTGCCGTGCTGTGCCCTAAGCCACGTGTCACCCAACCTCCTACTCACCGTCTCCCAAGCTGCCCTGCCCAGGCTGCTCACCTTGTTGGTTTTGACAGCGGGGTCCTTGGAGATGACACCAGTGCCACTGCAGGGAGCATCAAGCAGGACACGGTCAAACCCACCCAGCACCTAGAAGAGGGAGGAGAAAGATGTCTTGGCCTCCATTTCATGGACACGACAGCAGGACTTCAGAAAAGGAGGTTGGGGGGAGGGCAGAAAAATGCGCCCCCACATGTATTCCTTTCTTGTGAGTCACCACCCACTGCGCCCAGTCAAAGAGAGACTCGCCGGAGTCCATAAAGCCTCGTGGCACTCAGAGAAAGCATGAAACTCCCCCTGCTGCAGACCTTGGGGAACTGGCGTCCATCGCAGTGGCTCAAGACAGCGTTGGTGACCCCCAGACGGTGCAGGTTCCCCACCACGCTGCGTAGCCGCTCAGCATTGCTGTCATTGGCCAGGATCACACCTGTGTTCTTCATCAGCTGAGCTGCCAGGGCACAAAGCAGTCACATCAAGACCCAGAGAATATGCAGCACCCCCACTGCCAATTAGCAGGAGGAATAAAATCCCCCCCCTCCCTTCTACCAGGCAACCATCCCCCATGTCCTCCTATTTCCCTGCCCCCCAGGCATCCCCACAGATCTCTTTCACCCAGGCTCTCTTCCCAAACTCCAGAGCTTTCGTCTCTCCTGCTCATTCCCCCCACTCCCAAGCCTCCAGCGAGGTACCTATGTAGCTGGTTTTGCCTCCTGGGGCACAGCACATGTCCAGGACGCGTTCGTTTTCTTGGGGGGCCAGAGCCATGACAGGGAGGAGGCTGGAAGCTCCTTGTAGCATGTAGTGTCCAGCCAGGTACTCAGGGGTGGCACCTTGGAGGGGTGGGGGGGGGATGAAGAACAGAACCATGAGAAGAGAAGCAGCTAAGCAAATGAGTCAGTCAGCTCAAGCCTGTGAAGCCAGGGTCAGTGTCTCACCGATGGGCACAGAGGAGTCGTAGACAACAAGCCCAGTTTTCGACCATTTCCCCAGGGGGTCGAGATTCACACCACGGTTAATCAGAGCCTGAAAGATGAAGTGACAGGGTCAGACTGTTGCTCCCTAACTGGGACAGAGGTTGAGGGGAGAGATGTAAAATCCTGTTTAATTAGCTAACCGGTTAAATGTAACCTTCAAGATTAAATGGGGATGGCCAGGGGCTGCTCCAGCCCCCGTGCAGAGCTGCTAGCTCTGTCTGCATGGGGGTCAGCAGAGCCGGCAGTCCCATGTGGAGGCCCAGGGGGGCTGCTCCCCCAGGACTGGTTAACCATTACTCATTAACATCCCTGGTTGAAGGACCACGATGCTTTGCTCACCTGTGCTAGGTCTCGTCGCCGTGTTTTCAACGTGTTGGTACGAAGCGTCATAGGGCGAGGAACTTCATTAGATTCCAAGAAGTTGACAAGCTGGAGACGGAATCAGAACTTAGGGCCGGAAGGCATATTCAGAAGATCACCTAGTCTGTTTTCCTGTACATCTCAGGCCACCAGCACCTCCTAGGGCTGGCACGCTACACCCAACAGCCAAAGTTAGAGTGAAGTCCTACAATTCTCAGGAAACTAGGCTACTCCGTGGTACAGGCAGAGAACAGGAGGGACCAAGAGGCACTAATGCTGGAGGATTGTGCAACAGCAGTGAAACAATTAGGGGAGACATACCCAGATAAACCCAGCAAATGACCGGCACCCACATGCTGCAGAGGAAGGCAACCCTGCCCCCACGGTGCAGGGCACTGCCAATCTGACCTGGGGAAAAACTCCCTCCCAAACTTCCATAAGGTGAGACCAAGAGTATGTAGCAAGAACCAATCAGTTAAGCACCAGAGACAATATCGATGTCACCTCTGAGCCCTAGCACATCCCAGCCACAGCTGCAGCTCTCGGATGTTTCAGAGGAAGGCAAGAGAACCCAGAATACATTGCCAGGAGGGCAGCCCTCCCTGATCCCTGCACGTGGCCAGCTGAAATCCTGAAGTATGAGAGTTTAGAAATATCTGTCACGAACCAGGAGGTCCCTCCAAGACTTCTGAGCTTTACACTGCACCATTATCATTCCAGGGATCAATTTCTCTCCCATTTCCCCCCACATCTTCTAGAGTCTGTTGCAGAACCTCCCTCCTCTAATGGTTAGAAACCTCCTTCTAACTTCCGCCTGAATCTGTTCGTGGCCAGTTTCTATCCATTTGTTCTTGGGCTAACACTGTCTTTCAGCTTACATAGTTCTGCACCCTCCCTGGGGTCTACCACCATGTACCTGTACAGTGCAATCAGGTCGCCTCTAGGCCTTTGCTAACAAGCCAAACTCTTCAGCTCTCCCCTCCTAAGACAGGCCCCTTCTTAAACTCTTCTTTTCAGAACACAGGTGACCAGAACGGAACACAATGTGCCAGACGAGGTCTCACCAGTTCCTTGTATAAGGGCATTACCATTTCTCTGTCGTCACTGGAAGTGCCTTACCAGACACACTGGGATTGCATTTGCCTTTTTTCACAGCCACAGCACACTGGCAGTTCAGTCACTGGCGAGCTACCCTACTGTCTCTCCACTCCTCTATTGCTTTCCAGCCCCCAGCTTGTAGCCAAAATTCATATTCAACCATGTGTGCATGAACTTGCATTCTGTATTAGTAAAGTTCATCCTACTTCTAGGACTCCAGTTTTTAAGGTCATCCCGTTCCTGTAAAATATTCTGACCCTCCTCTGTGGTGACCATATCTCCCATCTTTATCTTCAGCAAATGTCATTGGCACTCTGTGCCCCTACCAGTTAACCAGAACCTGTAGGCAAGTGATGCCTGGCAGTTAACTTTCCCATCCCTAGTACTTCCCTTATTTTAAAAGGAAAATCAGTTCTCTTCTCAAAGAAGGAAAATTGGGCTAGGCTGGCATGATCTGCCTTTGCTAAGCTCAATGTTGCATTAAATCCCTTTGACCATTTCCCACCAGTTTTAATTGTTTTCTTCACAGTTTGCTCTAGTCTAGAGCCCTGCGTGCTACTGAGGTCAGACTACAAGGTCTGTAATCACCCAGCTCTCTCTCTCCCCCCTTTCTAACCACACGAGTGGTAGCTATTCTCCAGGAGAAGCAGCAGAGAAAAGAGAATGTGATAGAGAGCATGATAGAGAACAGGGGAAGGAGGCAAGGAATGGGGTCCATATCTGGGACGCGGGCAGGCAGATGGGTGAACACCGAGCAACCGCTGTGGATGTAGCCTGGGTGAATGCAGAGGCAGACGTAGGCGGGGCTCATACCTCAGGGAGAGGGAAGAGATCCATGAGTTTCTTAAGCAAGAAGTCACTGTAGGAATAGTAGGCAGCAAGGTCATGGCGCAGCAGCGCAAGGTACTCCTGCCGGGCGCGCCCCACCTCCCGCTTCGCCTTGAAGTCCTGCAGCACCTCCACATTGTCCTTGATACGCTGATGAATGAGTTGCAGGTCAGGCAGCTCAGCAGGTAAAGGGACAGTTAAGGAATCAGGAAAAAGTCTCACAACCCTAGGCATTGCTCAAATGTGAATAGCGTGTGTATACCATGGCATGCAATGCACAGGCACCTCTGCTGCATGGTTTTCAGGCTGCATGTACGGAGTCACAAATGCCTCTTCTGCACAAGTGTCTAACCGGTGACACGCTGGAGTGTTCTAGGCCAGTGTTTCTCAACCAGTGGTACGAGTTCCCTTAGGGTTACTCAAGAGAAGTTGGTGGGGAGGGGCCGGGGACGGGACGTCGACAACTGAAATTTGGAGAAAACTGAATTTTTGTTTTAAGTTTTTCCGCACTTTATAATTTTTGTACTTTTTACGCCCAAAAATTTCATCACCCACCCGGCTACAATTAAGTTGTTTAAACAAATGTGTTGCAATGGTAGAAAAAAAAATTGTCTGAAAACTGTAGGTACTGGGGGTATTTATAATTTTTGTTCTTTTGAAAAAGGGATACTTTATAAAAGAAGGTTGAGAAACCCTGTAATCTAGTCCAACGCAGTGCGATCTAACGCATGTGGGTGGTAAGGCTCCTGTGATACACTAGTGCAGCCTATCAAAACCAATACACCTCTGCTGCGCAACACGGTTCCGTGCAAGAGTGAGAGCTCAGATATGCCATGGAGACAGCCCATGTGCACCATACACAGCAGAAGGATATTCTCTCTCTCCACTTCTTCACCACTGGGCAACACAAACTGCTCATCTGGCTCCATATTGAGCTGAAGGTCCGCATCCTCCTCTTCCTTCTGCCCCTTGCTTGGGCTGCTCACCCGCTCCTCCTCCTCCTCTTCACTGTCATCCTCGCTAAGACTGTCCCTGAGCCCAAGAGAGGGAAGAGTTAGTACAGAAACCTCCCATGCTCTCCCTCCCCCCATGCAAGGAGAGAAGTGCCACAGCTGGAATCCTGTGGCCACTTCTGGTACCCACAATTCTAGAAGGATGGTGATAAATTGTAGAGGACTCAGAGAAGAGCCATGAGAATGGGAAGGGTTAGAGAGACCCATGGTCTAGTGATTGGTAAGCTAAATACATAGACCCAAGAGCTCAAAGAGAAAGCTAATGGGTGACTTGAGTCTATACACACCTACAGGTGGAACAAATATTTGACAATGGGCTCTTCAACCTAGCCGAGAAAGGCATAACACAATCCAATGGCTGAGATTTGAGGCCAGACAAATCGAGGTTGGAAATAAGGAGTACATTTTCCAATGGTGAAAATAATTACCCATTGGAACAATGTACCAAGGGTCCTGCCAGATTCTTCCCTACCAGCAAGATTGGATTTTTGTCTAAGGAACATGCTCTAAGAATTATTTGGGAGAAGGTCTCTGACCTGTGTTAGCACAGGCCAGTGGGCTAGATCAGTGGTCACCAACCAGTAGATCGGGATCTACTGGTAGATCTTGGGAGTCTGACATGCGATCCTGACTGGTTTGGCCCAGAGGCTATCAAATGCCAGCACATCAGCTGCCCATCCCCCACTGCTGTGCACCTCCTGCCCTTTGCCTTGGAACTGTCCCCCACTCCTTCTTGCTGGGCAGGGCAGGGCAGAATGAGGAGGGA